GTTTGCGGTACACGGATCGAACCTACGAAACAAATTTATCATCAGACAGGATTTGAGGTTCTCACGGTGGTGAGAACGAAGATGTCTCTTATGGGTCGTAGCGATGTGCAGTCCGGTAGAAGTGTACCAACGTTTCACAGGTCTTGCTACCTCCATGTTCAGGACAATCACTCATCGTCCTAATGATGGAAACGTTGGTAAACTTCTACCAGACTACATGGCGCTACAACCCAGAAGACAGATATCTAAGACCATCATCCACAAACAATTTTCTTAATGTCCTATTCACTTCATCTATCTGTCTCAAGTCCATAATTCTTTCTCGCCATTCTCTTTCCATTCACATACATTCTTGACAAACTAACTAGATGGCTTACCGAACCCGAAGGTTCATCACCGAATTAACCATAGCCCTCCACCGGACCCTGTCCTTGGTCAACAAAACCCAGTCTCCTTCAACTCCTATCTCCCATAGATCCCGCCTGAGATTATCCTCCCATCTACGTCTAGGTCGCCCCAGCGGTCTCTTCCCTTCAGGTTTCCCAACCAGTACCCGGTGCACACCTCTTGTTCCATCCATTGTATTTGTCATTCTTGACAAATACAATATAAAATAACAGTGAACACGGATAATATTAACTGTAAAGGACATGTCATGATATTTGATTCATATTCGTATTTTGTACGCCTGATCAATGGGATTTATAAAAGATGGCATTTGGTGAAAATCTTCAAATATTTGGGAGGCAACAAAGATTAATATTACACCTAACAATAGGTTTAAGAGCCAATTAAATGCGGACATTTCTCGCTGTATTCACTTCGAATATTTCATCTTATTGTCTCACCATTCGCTTCAGAATATTTTATTTTCTTGTATCATATTCTAAAACATGTAACATAATAAAGAATTCTAAATTGTTGTTGCCTATTTTATTGCAGGGGGTCCGCAGTGGCCGCGCGGTCTGAGGCGTGGGCCTTGTGCCGCTTGGTCACTGGGACCGTGGGTTCGAATCCTTATCAAACCATGGATATTTTTCTGTGTTGTACTGTCCTGTGTACAGGTAGAGGCCTTGAGACGAGCCGATCCCTCACCCAAGGAGTCTATAGATCAAGCCAACGAAAAGTTGGGACCCGCAGTGCTCAAGCACTTGAACGGGTTGTTCCCAGTATCCCAGTATTTAGTATTTTATTGTACCGGTTTTTAATTTGGTCCCTCGCACAAACGAAGAACAATGTGACTTGTAGACTATTCCAGAATAAATAACAAAAGAACAGAGATGATTACACAATGAGGTTTGAATGAGAGGGACATACAGCACGCATGGAAGAGAGGACAGTATGAAAATAAATCATCATGGAATTGGGTGAAATGGCATGGACTTTTGAATGAATTTAAGTGACTCAGAATAAGGGCCATGGGTGGGGTCTTGTGAACACGGTAATGAACTTTTGATCCCGTAATAGGAGAAGAATATCTTGAGCAATTGAGTGACTATCACATTCTAATGACTTCTCTCCAAGTAATTACTTCCTTATAATAATTGTTATTAATAATTTATTATTGTAGAAATAATGCCACATGTGAAGAGAACCGTAATTTCAGAAGACGGCTGCATTCAGTGAGCAGTGCCCAGGTTTCGGTTTACGTTTCTTCATGTTTGATACCTGCAAGGACTTCCCCGAACGTGACAGAACTTGCTACTGTATCTTTTAAACATTTATGGAGCTCCAAATTGTTATCAGAACAAAGCTGACTGCCATATTCCTCCGTTTTCTTCTATTAAAAAATGATTCTGACAGCCCCCTCCCTTGTATGGGCCACGCTACATACGTTTTGCAATTAATTTTGTACTTCCAGAGTATTGCATATCAAGTAATTACACGAATATTCCTGACAGAGAAATACGTAATTTCCAACAAATAAAATTACTATACCAATCTAAAGCATCACATGTTATACGCATAAGTAACCGAGAGACCTGTGGTGCCCTGGGATTGGCTGGGCGTGTCTTGGGGGCGTGGTTATAGCGATGGAGCCAGCCGTCGCGACGCTAGTGTGGGTGTTGGGGTGTATATATACTGTGGCGAGTGTTGCAGGGAAACTTCTGCGGGAGGCTCCAATCTGCTTGACCTAACATCTCGCCGTCAACTTCCTACGTCGCCAGGACACGTGAGTACTCTCTCTTGACACGTGTATCTGCCATGTAACTGTGTTTCACACAACTATGATTCCTTGCTCTTGAAGAAGTGTCAAAAAATATTTTCTTCTTGAAAATATGTTTATGTTATAAAATAATATGGGGGTTTTAATGTAAAACCCACTTTGACATAGATAAAAAGAAAATTTATGTACCTTCGGAGAAAAAAAACCATTATAAATTATTCAGTGCAGTGGTGAGATATTTTAATTCGTCAGGGGTTATAATTGAATGCTACCAGAGACATAAATTAACGAATAAACAAAATCAAATAATTGTGCTTAAGCATCACATAATGAAGACGTGGAAAGGTAAACTTTCTTAACATCATTAACGTCGAACTAGATGGGTATGAGTTGTCAGTCTCACGTTCCGGCCGTTTTATTGCCAGAGATAAAAATCACACGTTACCCATAAAACAGGAGGCTTGGTGGACTCGGCAGGTAATATGGATGTAGTATCAAGCAGAAAAATCCATACCCCTGCCAGGGTTCGAATCCAGGTCGTCCAGTCCGTTGCCAGTTAATTTACTGAACAATCCCAGTTATATATTCAAGTTTAATTTTGTTGCTAGAAATACTTTATTCCCCCAAGTGATAAAAAATATTTTATTCCTTGTCAATTTATAAAAATACAAATCCGAAAAATAACGAATATAACCTTTCAAAAATTGGCTACTGTGCAGTTCAGAAACAAAATAACTTATTGTCCCTTTTTAGTTACCTAAACACAGCGATAGCACTGCAGTTTATTGTATTATTCCTTCAAATTTTACGCAAATATTAAATGGAAAAAATTACACCTCTGTGTATGATAAATCGAGCTTAAAACATGGCTAAAAATCTTTCAGAACCAGAGCGTGTTTTAATATATATAAAAATAATGTACACAAAATATCAAACATGTGCTGTGTTGGCTACTGGTTCGTATAGGACTATACGATCATATTATTTAAAACCAGAGAAAATGCACACTATATTTTCATTTCTGATCATTTTAAGAGATAGCGTTTGTGGTCGGTGCAGACTATAATTTGTCAACAGAGAGAAGTTCCGCTCCACCGACTCTTTGGGTCGTAATTTAAAATTAATAACAAAGTTTCTGGCACAGCGGGTACGTGTTATGAACAAACAATATTCACACCTGGTTTATGGGATACACATACATGGATAACATGCAAATTAATTGCATGATAATCATTTGAATGAATGTTGTACTGTAATAAATTAATGTCCCTGATTAATAAAAATAAAATTATTGTTACTAGTAGTATAATGTATGCATAATTCAATTCCGAATTTATCTTTATTTATTTGTGATCTATATAACGACGGTCTCAATAGGTCAGACTATACCGCGTCGAATGATTCATTAATAAATAATGAATTGTAAAGGATTTTGAAGAAAGAGGCTCGAGATCTTAAGAATATGATGCAGAAATGCTAACCACTGATGTTCAGTCAAAATAAATCTAAAGTGCACAAATGACCCAACACATCCCTTTAGCCTATGCTAACTGAATAATTTATTATTTTAAAAAACTTAGTCAAGTACTCAGTCAATTCTAAATCAATACGTATTTCCTTGTTTCTGGTGAGCTGTGGAAAACAGGCCAAGGTCAGAAAAATGGCAGCGAACTTCCAAGGTAGGAGACAGTGAAAAATATCGCTCATGATACAGTACATAGGAGTCCGCAGTGGCCGCGCGGTCTGGGGCGTGGGCCTTGTGCCGCTTGGTCACTGGGACCGTGGGTTCGAATCCTTATCAAACCATGGATATTTTTCTGTGTTGTACTGTCCTGTGTACAGGTAGAGGCCTTGAGACGAGCCGATCCCTCACCCAAGGAGTCTATAGATCAAGCCAACGAAAAGTTGGGACCCGCAGTGCTCAAGCACTTGAACGGGTTGTTCCCAGTATCCCAGTATTTAGTATTTTATTGTACCGGTTTTTAATTTGGTCCCTCGCACAAACGAAGAACAATGTGACTTGTAGACTATTCCAGAATAAATAACAAAAGAACAGAGATGATTACACAATGAGGTTTGAATGAGAGGGACATACAGCACGCATGGAAGAGAGGACAGTATGAAAATAAATCATCATGGAATTGGGTGAAATGGCATGGACTTTTGAATGAATTTAAGTGACTCAGAATAAGGGCCATGGGTGGGGTCTTGTGAACACGGTAATGAACTTTTGATCCCGTAATAGGAGAAGAATATCTTGAGCAATTGAGTGACTATCACATTCTAATGACTTCTCTCCAAGTAATTACTTCCTTATAATAATTGTTATTAATAATTTATTATTGTAGAAATAATGCCACATGTGAAGAGAACCGTAATTTCAGAAGACGGCTGCATTCAGTGAGCAGTGCCCAGGTTTCGGTTTACGTTTCTTCATGTTTGATACCTGCAAGGACTTCCCCGAACGTGACAGAACTTGCTACTGTATCTTTTAAACATTTATGGAGCTCCAAATTGTTATCAGAACAAAGCTGACTGCCATATTCCTCCGTTTTCTTCTATTAAAAAATGATTCTGACAGCCCCCTCCCTTGTATGGGCCACGCTACATACGTTTTGCAATTAATTTTGTACTTCCAGAGTATTGCATATCAAGTAATTACACGAATATTCCTGACAGAGAAATACGTAATTTCCAACAAATAAAATTACTATACCAATCTAAAGCATCACATGTTATACGCATAAGTAACCGAGAGACCTGTGGTGCCCTGGGATTGGCTGGGCGTGTCTTGGGGGCGTGGTTATAGCGATGGAGCCAGCCGTCGCGACGCTAGTGTGGGTGTTGGGGTGTATATATACTGTGGCGAGTGTTGCAGGGAAACTTCTGCGGGAGGCTCCAATCTGCTTGACCTAACATCTCGCCGTCAACTTCCTACGTCGCCAGGACACGTGAGTACTCTCTCTTGACACGTGTATCTGCCATGTAACTGTGTTTCACACAACTATGATTCCTTGCTCTTGAAGAAGTGTCAAAAAATATTTTCTTCTTGAAAATATGTTTATGTTATAAAATAATATGGGGGTTTTAATGTAAAACCCACTTTGACATAGATAAAAAGAAAATTTATGTACCTTCGGAGAAAAAAAACCATTATAAATTATTCAGTGCAGTGGTGAGATATTTTAATTCGTCAGGGGTTATAATTGAATGCTACCAGAGACATAAATTAACGAATAAACAAAATCAAATAATTGTGCTTAAGCATCACATAATGAAGACGTGGAAAGGTAAACTTTCTTAACATCATTAACGTCGAACTAGATGGGTATGAGTTGTCAGTCTCACGTTCCGGCCGTTTTATTGCCAGAGATAAAAATCACACGTTACCCATAAAACAGGAGGCTTGGTGGACTCGGCAGGTAATATGGATGTAGTATCAAGCAGAAAAATCCATACCCCTGCCAGGGTTCGAATCCAGGTCGTCCAGTCCGTTGCCAGTTAATTTACTGAACAATCCCAGTTATATATTCAAGTTTAATTTTGTTGCTAGAAATACTTTATTCCCCCAAGTGATAAAAAATATTTTATTCCTTGTCAATTTATAAAAATACAAATCCGAAAAATAACGAATATAACCTTTCAAAAATTGGCTACTGTGCAGTTCAGAAACAAAATAACTTATTGTCCCTTTTTAGTTACCTAAACACAGCGATAGCACTGCAGTTTATTGTATTATTCCTTCAAATTTTACGCAAATATTAAATGGAAAAAATTACACCTCTGTGTATGATAAATCGAGCTTAAAACATGGCTAAAAATCTTTCAGAACCAGAGCGTGTTTTAATATATATAAAAATAATGTACACAAAATATCAAACATGTGCTGTGTTGGCTACTGGTTCGTATAGGACTATACGATCATATTATTTAAAATCAGAGAAAATGCACACTATATTTTCATTTCTGATCATTTTAAGAGATAGCGTTTGTGGTCGGTGCAGACTATAATTTGTCAACAGAGAGAAGTTCCGCTCCACCGACTCTTTGGGTCGTAATTTAAAATTAATAACAAAGTTTCTGGCACAGCGGGTACGTGTTATGAACAAACAATATTCACACCTGGTTTATGGGATACACATACATGGATAACATGCAAATTAATTGCATGATAATCATTTGAATGAATGTTGTACTGTAATAAATTAATGTCCCTGATTAATAAAAATAAAATTATTGTTACTAGTAGTATAATGTATGCATAATTCAATTCCGAATTTATCTTTATTTATTTGTGATCTATATAACGACGGTCTCAATAGGTCAGACTATACCGCGTCGAATGATTCATTAATAAATAATGAATTGTAAAGGATTTTGAAGAAAGAGGCTGTGGTACAATTTAAGGTACTATCCCGGAACTGACTGGAGGGACTGAGAAATATCACTATAATGATCAGTAGGGATACCCGATCTCCGCGCCAATATTTTAACCTGTATCCTTCCGTATACGAAGTAGGAGTGCTAACCACTCGACGCAACGTTCTAACGCCGCGAGCGAAGATATTGAAAAGTTAGCAAAGTCAGAAACTGATGAAAGATGAATTTAACGGAGACCGAGAACATTCTATTCTTTATAATAATGGTTGCTTAATTCTTTGAACCAAACAGGAGCATAACACAATCAACTCTCTGTCGTAATTTTCTCAGTTATGTTAGCAGGAACAAACATGACACCTGACAGTTCGTTGCATCTCATGCAACAACAACTGATGTAAATTCCACTTACAGTTACTCTGTGATGTTGTTATCAGTGCCAAATCCAATTCACAGCCACCGCTATACAGAAGTTCTTATAGCCAGTGACAGTTATGAAATACCTCGTACGCTTAGTATAACAACACCCGTCAAATCAATGTTAATGCATCCAGTTCCCAGTCAATTACATCTCACGATTCATACGACTGAACGGGATTCTTGACTGTTGTTAATGATTGCACTCCAATCTAACAAATACTATTTGATGTGCATCACTCAATTACCACTAAGTATAAATAATAACTGTTAACAGACGCCACAAGACGTCACATAAAACAGCGGTCACTAGTCTCAAGAAACAGTGTCCTAAGAAAAAAGATAGCCCGAGGCTTTTCGCTGAAACGCGTAATGCCACATAATATAGGGAAACTAAACTATCCTGAGCCAGATTAATGCAATCTGCATCCTTGCACCCGTTTCTTTAAGATCATATTCAATACTATCCTGCCATTTACGCTTAGGTATCCTAAGGCTGACTAAAATTCTGTACGCATTTTTATTCTCGCCCGCGTGTGCTACATAGCCTTTATCAGCACTTTATCCTGTTTCAGTCCAATAACAATCTTTTTGTGGAAGTTTACAATTTATGAAGTTCCCCTCTGCGCATTTTTCTACGTCCTCCTCTTACTCCCTGTCTCTAAGGTAAAGCAAAATATTTTCTGAAGTATTCCCAATCTATGTTTTTTCCCCTTAGAGTGGCTGCCCTCATATCAGCCGATAAAATTCTAGTTTAATACGTACTAATCTTTAGGTATGGCCGATAAGAGATTAAAAAGTATCGATTTCAGTTTTCTGGGCTGTAACGCATCTCAGGCTTACAGGTTCTTGCCAGGAGCATATTGTCTTTGAAATGATGCAAGACTGTGTTGCGTTAACCCTTAAGACCACAGATGTCAAATCTTATAAACATGAAAATATTCTAACCTTTATGACCGAAACAGGCCAAGAGATTAATGCGTAATCATGCTGAACATAGGGGCATGAGACACAGAGCTTATGTTAAAACCATCCATGGATATAAAATTTATAATTTGATGACATAATGAGGAGCTGATCATAATAGTTGCCATATTTTTAATAAAAAGTTCTTTACGACTTATCAATCCAGTAAACGGACCCAATTACTAATACGCATAATGATATAAATAATATCTAAACGTGTATGCCTTCTGTTTACTAGAACTTACATAACAAATTTTCTTATTATTTTCATAAATGTTGGCTCTAACTATACAATACAATACTGTCGGTCCGAATTATTTTATGAACGAAACAAGAAACGAAAATTAACAATTTTGTTTATTATTGGGGAACTTACACACAATTTTCATTAACTCTTGGCTTCTTTAACGACGCTGATGTAACTACTTAGCTTGTGTAGTGTCGAATGGTAGGATAATTAGTGGGCGATTATTTTGAAATAATGTACAAGTCTTGGCCTATTTTTAAGTAACAACTCTCCATCTGTTTAGAAGGACTGAGAAAAAGTATAAAAACCTTTTTTCATGGTATCCGGTCTCCGGATCGAGATTCAAACCCGGTACTTCGAGAATATGTAGCAGGAGTATTAACCACTGACTACTACGTTGGAAAGGAACAAAACGGAAAACTCGCGGGAGGCTACTGATATCGTGCGCGCCACGTAAGATTTTGTATCTTATTGTATCCATGGTGTGTCTAGTATCATAAGATAATTACGGGAAATGTTTCACGGGCTCTGTATATATGGAAACTAAGCCTCATTTTGCAGGCATAGAAAAGTAAGTGCCGCGAAAAAACTAAATAAATAAAGAACGCGCTACAATAGAATATGTGCAAGAGATATGCAATCAGATCCATTACTTATGTTCACAGGCTTATAAATTTGATAAAATTACAATAGGAAATGAAGGACCATTTACTGATAAGAAAACTAATTTCATACTATCAAGAACTTTCTGAAAACTGCTTTTCGCTTTTTGCGCAAAGAAACTTTGTAGGTCTTTCATAGTAATTCCGAAATATCGATAACGTTCGGCTGCATCATTCAACTTACTTTTTAAGAATTACTTCTGACTGATTTCTACCACCATTAATAATCCGACTAAAACGTAAACTAGTTCGAAATGCGTGTTAAACATATCTGTGACTGAATTTCTGCGATTTATGCCCAACAGATATGCGTTCGTCTTACGTAAAATAGTTTTACTGAGTACTACATCTTTGTTATCACATTTAATTAAAATTCGTTGCAAGAGAGTATTACTCATATTATTCTCAGGATGGGGGATACACTAAACGAAGCTGCGTATCGAACAAAAACACTTTCATGAATAAAGTTCGCATATAAAGCCACATTCTATGCTAAGTATGTATGTTTTAATAACTATGATCAGCTCGAAACTGTGTTGTGTTCGTTCAAGCAATAGGAAGATGCGGTGAAAATGAAAATTGGCTCAACCGCGTACAAATATGAATAGTAAAATCTATGGACGCTGCAGATATCACATTATAGCTTGTTCGTTTCAGCCACAAACTACTGCTTCTTCTCATGTGGTAAAATTATCGTATTACTGTTGTGCGCATTGCAATTAAATATCTCAGCAATGTTCAAAGACGTCGGATATTTGTAATATCGCGTTGCATACAAAAACCTATCCGGCGGTGCAGGACTACATAAAAATGTGACAGATTCTATTACTTTCTCTACAGTGAGAATTAAAAACTTTTAAAGTTAAGACAGGTTTGCCCGTAAGAATGAGTTTGGAGAGCAACATCCAAGTTACCTGTTTAAATCAATTTACGAAGAATTATCATTAAAAATGCAGACTTAAAATTCAACAGACAATCCACTTACTGTTAAAACTCTTTTCACAAACAAGAATGCAACAAACATTTTATGCCTCCTCCTTCCTTGTCTCATCTCCCCCACACACTGTTTTTGCAACTCATTCCCCCTCCTCTTTGGTTATAATCATCTCACACATTTCGTGTTAATAGCTTTATACTGAAGTGTTAATTTATTCCGAGACCAGCCACGTCAGGGATCAGAGGAAGCCTCTAACTTATGATCGAAGGTATCATAATACGACGCTTAGCCAGGGCACGTGGGCGGTGATAGATGAGTGTGGAGCATCTGTGGAATGACGATTAG